GCTTTAAACTCTGATAAGGCCCTTGGCGGGAATGTCGCTGATTGGTCGTTTCCTGGACAACGAGACAGACCTCGTTCTAAGGCTTGTTAGTGCCCGACAGGTTAGCCTGAGGGCCGTAGGCCCGAGGGCTACCCTGAAGGGCACAAACAAGCCATAAGACCCTCCCTGTCGAGGGCCTTGGATTAGTTTAAAGCCCGCTGAATATACTCTAAACTGGTGCGTACAATTCCCTGTATGAATTATAGTACTGTGCAGAAAATGAACTCTGCATAAAATGTACGGTGTACTACTAAAAGCTACGCATTTCAGAAGTGTGTACGGTTTTTGCCTCCCGTATTCTTTCATCTAAACGAATTTTTTTGTCACACGGAAAACTGAGCCTCTTGTACGGGCAAAATAACACATTTTGTGAAGAATCAACACATATATAAAAACGAATCATCATAATAGTATTTACAGAGTCTGTCACTCAGTAGGATCACTGCACTGTGCAGGTTCACTGGATGCGTGCCTCCGCCGCCACTAGCACAGCAGGGGACTCAGGCATGGCAGGAGCAAACATGCTCCTTGAGCCACGCAGGCACATAGCACCACAACGCACCAGGGCAAACCCAAGGCGGCAGCGCAGCAAGGAGATAACCTGCCCGTATGGCTCCTTACTCTTCTCAGCCAGGAGAGAGGCGATCCGCGTGAAAAGAGCATTGGCATGCTTGCCATAGCCACCAGAGGCAGAGAGCACAACGGGCACGAAGGAGGCATGCTCAACTTCACGTACTCGCTCCTCGTACTTCCGGCGCTTTTCCTGTTCATGGCGTCTGTAGCTAGCAGCGAGGGAGGTGGCACGATTCGAAGACGCAAAAGGTTGAACACCCGTACATCAATAAAGATGCGCTCGAATCGGCCACCCCACACACCACTAGCCGCAACGTCCAGCCGAGCTTGCTCCTCCGTGACAGCTGTGCGATGGCGGAAGGCCTCTCCGGTGACGGGCTGGAGGTGGGGTTCCACTGTCACGTTGTGAGCGGCCTGCCTCAGAGCTCTGGCGGTGATGTCCCTCACCTCGTTGTGTCGCAGCGTCGGGAAGCCACCAAACGGGCACGACAGGGCGTGACTCACATTCAGCGGCTTACTGCACACGCAGAGGCTTGGGAGCCGAGGAGGTTTCCAGCCGTACCGGAGGCACAGGCCATCCCGGAAATCTCCCTTGCTGAGTGTGAAACCATGGCGGCTGAGGGGGCGGCAGGTCAGCCAGCTGGATGCACCCTTTTCTGAGGCCAGGTCGAGAACAGGGGCCAGCTCCCGGTGATCCGAGCGAAGAGCGTCAGCCATAGACTTGAACGCGCTCCGCTTCTCGGCCCGAACCGTCGCCTTGACCGTCCGGAGCTGAGTCAGAGAGTCGCCAAGAGACGACTCCTGCTCCAGCAGGCGAGACACGAGGCTAGCCGTGATCCTTCGGGATGAGGTGTACTGTTCAGCCACTGAACAAGGGTCTGCCATACCCAGTCCCCCAAGCCGGCAAGGCAGAGAGAGTAGGGAGCGAACAGTTGTCCCAGGTGGAGCCTGACCCGTGATGGCCGGGATGAGCCGACCGCTGATTGCGTGTTCCAGCGGTTCAAGCAAGGATGGCGGGATGGAGGAGGTCCGGCAGAGGAAGGACCACTTGTTTTGCAGGCCCTGTGTGAAGGCGGAGTAGGCGGCCTGTGGCTGCGATGCAGCGATGGTCGTGAGCTGCGCAACTTCCTCACACCAGGTGGCGACCTTGGACTGGACAAATTGTTCTATAAACTCATCCGTGCCCGAAGGTGCACCAAGGTGGCGGCAACCATCACACGTGACCTGCACACCGGTCCCCTCGAACATCTCGATAGCAGCTGCGTACCTGGAGGGCTTGACCAGGAGGAGTGACTTCTGGGCATTGCAGTGGTAGCCATACCCAGGACCTTGGCTGACGAGATTGTCCCACCATTGGCGAACAGGCGTTAGCTTGCCACCGGCTGCAGCATCGTCCGCATACCAGCCCTGTTTCGCACCAGGCACTGCAACTTTCTTGATGAGCGGGAGGACTCCAAGTGCATATACGGACATGGCCAGAGGGTCACCCTGAGTGGTACCCTCGCACGATAGCAAGCACTCTCCATCAACGAATAGGCGGGATGGTTGGCGGTAGGTGTTGATTACAGCTTGCGCTATAGAGGGACAGAGGTGACGGATGTTCCGTAGGCAGGCTTCACGGTTAAGCCGGTTGAAGGCGTTCGAAGCGTCGGCGAGCAATATGGCATCCGCATCCTCCTCACGGTAGACATCTTGCATCGCATGGATGGCAGCTTCAATGCCGCACTCCTGACCGGCACACAGTTGAAGGGTGCCCGCTGCATCTTGGATATCTCTCCCGGTGACAGTGAGGATGGCTTTGCCGACAATGCGCCTGGCCACTTCGCCGATACCAATGGGTCGAACACCCGGCGATTTGTCAAGGGCTATTAATCTGCATGCGACGAGCGCCTCCAGTGTCTCTGGGTTGACGCATGTGGTAGCAATGCGACGAGCGCATGTTGCAAGCGAGTCACACAGCTCATCCGACGCTTCGGAGAACGCCGTGCACATGCGCCGCCATCCATCAGCGTCCATGCCCGATGGCCCAGCCGCGCCGTGGGTGTGCAGGGCGGCCCGGCAGATGACGTCACGGGTCAGGCTTGAGAACATCACTCTGTGGAGCTGAATAGGTGGCTCACCCGTGAGCAGAGACTCTGCATCAGCCGGCTCCCCTGCCGGATGTTTGCTGATAAGAAGGTCACGGGTGGTATCAGTGCCGACAGTGGTGTCCAGGCTGAGAACTCCTTTGCAGCCACCACTTGATAGCTGACGGAGGGCGGATGGTAGTTTGCCGGAGGACACATTAGCGGCGAACGCCCTTGCCAGGTCAGGGGGGGGGGGGTCGATCGGGCGGCTGGCTGGTGCCTGTCCTGGACCTGATTCTGGATGGTGGTTGACTCGCGGAGCAGTTCCGGCAGGCTTGCTGTTCGCCAAAGTTCTAGACGTCTCCTTAGGTGTTCCTGTGGAGACGGCTTGGTATGGTTGCCCTGCGGATTCTGTAACATCAGCTGTCGCCGCCTTGAGTGCGACATCTTCTGAGGCCGAGGCACTGCCAAAGCTGTGGAAGAAGGCACTCAGCTGGGAGATGAACGAGCGACCGACGGTGCCCTGGGGAACTGGGAACAGGTTGGGGCGGAAGTGGACGACAACCGCATACGCCTCAACGATGGCTGTCACAGAGTCTTCCCCGGTCAGTTCTCCAAGTCGGAATGCGGTGCGGTCCAGTGATGGGAAGACTGGTAGGTCGGGGACCTCTGCACCGTCTGCAGATCCAGCTGGGCCCCCAGTGGCTGTTGCGTCTGTGTCGAAGTTGGGAGTGCTAGAGGGTTGGCTTTCACCGGCATCCAGTGTGGCCAATAGGTGCGTTGCCTGGCTGTCGGTGATGGTGTCAGGGTCAGCGATTTGGACCGGTGTATTACTAGCCGAGTGCAACTCCTGATCTGTAACGTCCGGATTCGGCGCCGCCGCACTGCTTGCTGCCCTGCGCTCCGCCACAGCAATCCCGCAGGCATTCATCATGGCACCATCGGCACACTCCACGTCCGCTGGCTCACGCACTTGGCTGGCAGGTTCGACATCGACATCAGCACTGTCATGGGGCTGTTAAGTGTGACGTCACGGCTCCTTCGATACGCATAGCAACGGAGAGCACTGGGGACAAACAAAAGTCGCGTCCTCTGGATGGAACCAGATGTCAAGGGCAACAGCATCTAAATGACTGAAGAGACAGCAGTTTTTCTTTGCTTTTTCTTCAAGCGATTGTTGTCGCTCTTTACTCCTTGTTCTTTCCTCTACAAAACTCCTGTAGTCGTCGAGTGCCTTCATGATGGCTGTGAACTTGGCTACCCACAGTAAAACTCCGTGTTTGAGAGTGCTTTGAAGATGTTTCGCGTCCTGATGGATCAAAGTATGAGCGCTCCTTGTGGATTCGATTATATATAGGTGAGTTGTTCAAGAAATCAGTGTCTTCTTTCTGTCTCTGCCCTCACGCTGGCACAATATCAGCCTCTATATCCATGACAGCTCGCACCTCCCGTAAACTGCATGACTTAGATATATTTTCGCCCTCCGTGGTGATTGAAGACCCATGGAAGAATTTATTATGTTCAGAATGATGTCCTAAGAATATAAAATAAAATAATTCTAGGGAATTGTCATAGGGTATTTTGGGAAGGATGGAGACAGAGAGAGAGAGCACTGTTTGAAGTGTTTGTCTCACTGTAATTACTCCAGATTATTGAATGTTGTATGATCTATTCTATATTTTCCATAATGGTTTTTCCTGATTTGCGGGATCTCTTCTTTTGCTGTTTGCATGTTTACAGAAAGTGGCTGTCTGGTGTAACTGCACCAGATCCTGGGGAAATTAAGTCAGATGCAGAGGCAGGGTCGTCCAGTGATGCAACACTGCTGTTCTGTGTGCAACGTTACCGCTAATACCTCCGGCGAAAACACAAAAAAAGACGAACACGTGAAAAGACTACAGTATTGACCGTTCTGCTAATAAATGCATGACTGCTCCGACAGTCGATAATCGAAACACAGAGCACCAGCATGATGTTTTCATATTGGGAACCACACAACAGCTCAATTCTCAAGCCCAAAAATTGATGAATACAAATACAGAGCGACGCAACAAGAGATCATCCGGCAACCAAACAAACCTGGGTCTAATGCACTGAATAGTCCTGAAATACGCAGGCCAGACAAAGCAGTGCAAGCACATAATGTTACAAGGTACATGGATTGCAGAACAAAGTGTAATCAAAGATACACAGGGTTATAGCTGCACACTTGTGCATGTGCTCGCTCAGCCCAAGAGCACACGATCATGATGATAGAAACAATCCGGGGGAAACACGCTAACACCAAAGTAAGCATCAACAAGTAAATAGTGCAGGTCTGAAAAATTACATTGACATGAACATTGGTGTGTCGAGTAGTATCAGGCTTGAATAATCATCCAACCAAGACTTCATCAGGTCCCAGACGCTGAGATCGCACGCCGAATGTGAAGTGCATCTAGCCTTGAACCTGTCGCACAAGGCACACATATATGGCAAAATGACATCCACTCTGATTATTTCCAGAGGCCAATCATGACAGAACACAGAAATGAAACCACGGGCTCAACCAAGTAAACGCAAAGGAAGTTAGTCAAAATAATCTATGCAGTGCTCTTTTAATTGCAGCGCTGATTGCAGTGTTGCGTCATAGCCCGATACCCACTGAGCACAGACACAACTCCATTCGTCAGGGGCAAGACATACTCTTTTGGAATAAAGTCATAAAGTACAGCGTTCCAATGACATTACGGACACCTCGTGTAAATGCATGGTTTGTTCATCTGGCCGACTCGGCCACGCATGAGAGTGTGTGCATCGCGCGCGCGCACACACCATGTATTCGGTGCGTATGGTGTACCAGTTGCGGGATAATGAAGATGGAATCATTATCATGATGTTACATGTACATCTACAGTGTATGTTTGAGTGTAAAGTAAATTTTATTTTATTGCACATTTCTTCGACACAACGAATTACTTACTTCACATGTTCGCATTTCTCATAATCGATCCACCTGCACTCCGTATCAGTCGAGGAAAAATTCTCCCAGATATACACTAGTCACCACAGCCATGTGATGACATTGGGATGGGCCCCAAGCACGATTGCACTCTCTCTGAGTTACAATAAATTTGGCCAGATTATCTGTGAAGACAAAATGCAATGCATAGCGGCAATCGATGGATGAAGAGAGACTGAGAGTTTGTAAATACCCATATCTTTCCACTTGTTCAGGAGCTTACCTTTTGGAGTTCACATCGTTTACACGATCTCTCATGCTGTCTTGCACCTTTGTTTTGTTGACCATGGATACGCCAACTCAGAAAACATTCCACAGGAGCTACTAATGCAGGGCGTTTTTCACGCTCGATCTCGGCGATCTACCTTGTCACGCCAATAAAAACCTCCGTGACACTGGCTACAGTCACAAGAGACGTCTCAGTAAGGTAATGAGCACGACAACATCGTCGAGATCAAGGACAAAGAGAAAACAAAACACTCACTGAAAACAGCAAAGAAGAAACGAAGAAATGTACACGATTCCTTTATGTTGCCACTGACAACTGGGTCGGTGGAGACGACGCTACTTTTGTTTGTCCCCAGTGGGATCGTTGTTATGCGTATCGAAGGAACTGTGACGTCATCACTTAACAGCCCCATTGGTACATGGTGTCAGGCGAGTTCGGCACCTGCACATGTACGGGTACTACGGAGCTAATAGAGAGGTTAAGTTTCACGTAAAAGTCTTACGTCCGTGAACTTTTACGTCAAAAAGTGAAAAAACTCACGTAAAATTTGACGTGTTTTACGTGAGTTGACTGTCCCGCACGTAAGTTCATGACGTGAGTTTTTGGAAGTTTCGCTTGGTTATCCAGACCGAATTTGTGTGAGTTTCCGGAATTTTATCGAGATTTATCAAGATTGTTGGAAGATTTGATATTTGTGCGAACTAAACCCGAATCCTGCCAGGCACAATTTCACGTCAGGTCGCACGTGTAACTTAACCTCTAAAAATTACACGTAACGTGAGATTTGCACCGCGTTTTGAAAAAGGGCAAAAAACGTGTAACTTAACCTCTCTACTGCCAGTGCGGGTACCGGGAGACGAGCTCGACCGGGCTGTGCGAGGTGGTCCGTGACCGTCTCTGCACTCTGCAAGTAGGGTGGTGGTGAGTACTGCGGCTGCACTCTCGGTGACTGCTGCCAGTGCTGGCTTGTGCACATTCGAGGTATATTATGGCACCGCAGGCCGCGCACCTGAGGGCCTTTCTGGAAGCCTTACTCGATCGGATAGAGCGAAACTGAGCACCCTGGGATGCGAGCAGTTTTTAGTACTCCCGGGTCCAAAATCTCACCACCAGGCCGGGCTGATCAAAACGTCTGCCGGGTCTGCAGCCTACAAACGTGGATCTGCCGACACTGTGCTGTCGACGACATGTCCCGCAAGGCATCTTGCGTGAAAGCAAGGAACGCTTTTTTTAGAAAGGAAGCTTCTTCCCCAAAATTTAAAAAAATTGAAAATTATTCCTTCTGAAAATATCATCGCGCTCTTGACCTCGAAGCTGACTGCTGAATGCGATTAGGAAAGAAGATTCCTGAAGATGCACCAGACTGATTCTGGCAAGCCGTCTGTCGTCTGGATATGCACTGTTGTTCGTTATGGTCAGCAATCTTCTTCGTTCGTCCTTTCGTTTTCCTGACCACGATGATGACAAGCAGCTCTCATGCTCAGGTTAGTGCTACTTGTATGTCTGAGATGCACCCACTGACGTTATCGAACTGAAGAATGCAGCAAGGGTTCCTCGGATTCTCTTGATTTTGGAACAAATTTCCTTCACTTTCACCCTCTCAGTCTCTTCCCCATGCCCTCCATGCATGCACAGTGGAGCTTGCATTTCAAATGTTGTTTTTATACTTTGGCAGTGCCTCTGCTACACTTTCATACAGAGTGAGGTCCTGTAAATAGGATCCAACATTGTTGGTGGTGGTGTGTGTGTGGGGGGGGGGGGGAGGTATGTTTGCAGCCAGGATGTAGGAATGACACTTCTGCGCAGCAGGTGGCAATAGTCAGAACTGGTCACTCTACAAATCCCATACCTGCCAACCTTTGCAAACCTGAGATCGAATGAAATACCTAGGCATGAAAATGTATACAAATATACCTCGCGGTGATGCATGGAACTAATGCTCTTTTGGGTGCCTATTACCGCCCTCAATGTCGGGATGGTTGTTAGCAAGAGTAGATAAACAAGAATGTGCAACTCGCGGATGGGTTGGCCCACGGCGGAATTTTTTGTTGACGTAATCTTTTCGACGACGCACGCGCTGCGAGCCTTTTGGAGAGTTTTCCCTTGTGCACTTGGCTGGGCTTTACACGTACGTACAAGCTGCAAGGTCGGTGCCCAGCACGTGCTCTCACACTGCTCTGCGGCAGAATCCGCGTTTCTCTGAAAAAAGGTGACGTAAACAAAAAATTCCGCCGTGGGCGGTTTTGTATCTGCAGATTGTGCAGGAGAGATCCGGAGTTGCACACTCTTGTTTATCTACTCTTGTTGTCAGGTATGAAATCCCAACCGAGAAAACCATTTAATTAGAAGATAAACTCGGCTGGAACACCGCTTTTCTGGGAATAGAAATTTGTTGTGCCACTTTCGGCTAGTCCTTTTCGCAGAAGTGATTCAGTGCCTCCGCAATGCTGTATGAGGGCCAGGACATAGCAACTTTCTGTATGCCGGGGGGGGGGGGGGTCATCGTCCGCAACATTGGTAGAGTTACGGTTACATTGTATATGTAGATACATACGTGATTTTTGGACTCGCCTCCAGGGATTTGTCGTAAGCTGGGGCACGCGTACGTGAAACAAGTGGCAAGAAAGGCCCAGTTCGTACAAGGGAGTAGTGAAATACTGGTATTTTTCTGTTCCTATGTTCCCACGACGAGTCCTCGGTGCACTGAGTGCAGGTCTCTTGCCGCTCCCTGGTCCCCGGTTCACGTGATCGTGACGTTTATCGAATAAGGTCTACATGTATATGCGGGCATGCATAAATCAACCCTTCCACAAGGACGGCTCAAACAGGCAGCCAAGGAGTGAAAATTTTGCTCCTGGGGCTAGGGGTGAAACGAAGGCCTCAATTTGCCAAATGAACCTCCATCGAAACGAACGAAGGTGTCGAATAATTCTTTTACCAGTTCACAGTTCCTGTTCACACGCACTCCCGGGGGGGGGGGGGCTACTATGCACTTGTAGTGACACTTACCGTAAGCCAAGTGGACCACGACTAGTTGACTGTACAGACTACAGTACAGTATACATGCACATGTATACAGTGAAGATCAGTGCATGGATGCCTGCCGTAATCGTATGTTGACCTTCGTTCGAATTGAAAAGAGAGGGTCGTTTCGAAAAAGAAAGAAAAAAGCTCAATGGAAGTATGATGCTGCTGACAATTCAAGACTCACTGAAGTCGCCTTTCTGGAATGGATCATGCGCTCTAGGTTCATCCAATTGGAAATGGACTCAATCAGTGTTACACCATTCTTGTTTGGTTAGTTATTCTACATCCCATAGCATGTACAATCCAACTTGTGAATAATGTACCTCGGGTTTACAAAACAACTCGCAAGTAACAATCTTCAGATCTAGTGACCATTTGATTGCATACTTCCAACCTCACGAGTAACAACAATACACCAATAGCGACACTTTTTTCATTCACATTCGAGGGTCAGTATTCCCCAGGTTGACTGCAATTGCCAATCAAACAGGAGGGGCGAAAGTCGACCACGGCTCAAAAGGCGTAAAGAAAATGTATGTCATGGGCTAGATGGCAGAAGGAAGAAGTAGGTTTTCTGAGAAAGCAAGAAACAGAGGTGAATGAAGCACCAGGTCTGTCCATGCAGTGGATAGAATTATTGGATTGAAAGACAGGCTCTTTACGTCAGCTTAGGGGCCGTCCGTAAATATCGATGTTTTTTTAGAGACGATATTGGTGCGTCTGGGGGGGAGGGGGTTTGAGCCATGTGCGTCTTTTCGAGCATCAGAAAAATATCGATGTAAATATCTGAAGTAACACGTTAGTTTCGCCGATCCCTGCACGCGGACGTCTAAATGGCTATACAAGAAATGTGAAACCAGCTTCCGTTCGCGGAGCTAAAACTCGCGACACAAGAACAAAATCAAAAATTGGAAGCTGTACGCCCATGGCGAATTTCAAGAGCAAAAGAATGAGCTATTGATTGTGGAAATCGGCCGAACGATGCCTGCAGGAGACCTTTTTCAAGACGTAGAGGCAGTGCGAACAAACACGGACGAACTCCACAAGAGTTTCCAGTCTTCACTGTCTGAACAAGGATTTGAAAAAATTCAAGCCCGAGCGTAGCCGCTTTGTCTACACCAGTACACGATGGCTGTGAGCACTGGAGCGCCAACCCGGTTCGCTCCCCCCAGGCGATGCAGCTATTGCGTGAGTGCGGCGGGATTTTCACGCCTACACCGGACCCTCAACATCCTGCTGCATTCCTGGGCACTTCATGAGCATCCAAAAATATTGATTCCATGATCTAGATGTACATGTGCGTCTTCTGGGGGGAGGGAGGGGGGTCAAGGGAGAGAAGCACCAATATCGTCTCTAAAAAAACATCGATATTTACGGACGGCCCCTTACTACTATTATACCTACATTTATTATTTTTATTTTATTATGACGGATAACCCAAAGGCAATGGTTTGCTTTCTGCCTTTTTCATGCAGGATTCTGAAAGCTGGAGCAGCTCTGCTTACCCCTACCACTGAACTTACAACTAACTTCCAACCAAGTTCAAGGCAGTGTTATGATGAATCAAGCACGCTTGCCATCATTTCATCATTGCAAAGTACATCGACAGTATAGATTTGGTGCTGACTATGTATGATGCAGAGTGTGCTCTATGTATCTATACTACTGATTGGCCTACATTATACTTATGTGGGCTGAGAGTAATCGATTGTGCTGTATGGCAGTTTACTTGCATGTCATAGATGTTCACATTGCACACAGCTACTGAATTGCTTTCTATTGCACTGCCCTACTGCGGCCCACTGCAAATAGATTGTAGTGGCATGGGCCATGCCATCATTATAGTGGTATACCGGTACTACACCAACAGTTTCACTAGTACACTGTACTAACTGGTGGATCTACATCATGCACAGCCTTGTCACTGCTTTTCTCACTTTTTATTAATTTACTGTACTGTACACGTTTTGGCACAGCTCTTCCACAAAGAGTTACTATTATTTTCTTCTGCATACCTACTGTATACAGTGACCTGACTGGTAACATCTATGGCTGTGAAATCACAAATTTCTGGGTTGACAGCCTCAAACCTATACGATTTGTTTCTAAGAACGTGCTATAAGAAGTATTCTATTAAAGTATTCTACTGGAGCTCGCAGGACATGGAGTGAGTTTGGAACACCACTCACTCTTCTGTGATTTGGATGTCAAATTATGAAATTCAGTTTGTGAGGTAAACCCATGCAT